TTTTTTTTTTTGGTACTGGGAATCAAACTCAGGTCCTTGTGCTTGCGCAGCAGGCGGTGAAACCATTGAACTAAAACCCTGGCTCTATAGTCTTAACTGTCACTATTTTTATCAGCACTCCTGTCTCATAGGTCTTCAATTAAAACTTGACTTAATGGAAACTTTATGAAGCCCAGCCTGAAAGAGGTTATGACTTGAGTGAAGAATTCATGGGATAAAATCACAAACAGCTGTCCTGCCAGCGCACTACAAACAGGCTACACAGAAGAGAAGTGCTCATTTAAGGAGTTTCATTGCTGGACACAAGAGATTGGGGCCAAATGTTCTACAGGAAATGGAGTCAAAAGAAATTCAGTTTGGAGTTATGACATTCCAGAATATGACATGACTGTTTGATTGTTTTGGGGGTTTTTTTTTTGGTAGCGGGGATCAAACTCAGGACCTTCTGCTTGCAAGGCAGGCGGCAGAACCACTGAGCTAAACCTCCAGCTCGACATGACTCTTTGAATAAATGTAGATTTTTGTACGTCAATAAAGTTAGATTGTTGTACATAAAAAGACATCCCCTATTTGCATCCTTTGGAGCAAAAATTAATACAAGACCAGGTATTATTTTGGGGGACCCTGTCTCTAAATCAATACCGAGGCAGGAGAATCAAACTCTAGCCTAGCCTGGACAATTTGTCAACTGAGCTTGACCCTGTCTCAAAATTTTAAAAAATAATTCAAAGGCTGGGGATGTAGCTCAGGGCAAAGACCTTGAGTTCAATCCCCAGTATTGCAAAAACACTCTAAAGTAACCCAGATGATATTCATACAGCAAAGTCTGGCTTCAGAGTCTATGGAAGGAGAAATTTATAACTTCTGGATTCTGGTAAATTTCATTGTCCCATTTAATCCTGATTCACCAATCCTAACCCCCACTTCACTTCAGTAAAGATCTCAGATTTAAAAAAGCTTTCTGAGCATTTTAAATTTTAAATTTTTACTGGTTCCTTAAAATGCAGCCACAATTGTCTTCAAGGCATAGACCAAATAGTATTAGCTGATTTAGGTAATCAGGTCCATATTCGCAGAGTCCCTTTTTAGAGCTGAGGCGGTAGGGAATCAGTAGCTTTTTCATGAACAAAACATCGGCTTTACATTCTACTTTTCAAGAATCCTGTACAAAAAAGCACGGGTTCTTAACTTGTGATCCTGGGTCCCTAGAATGGATGAATTTTCCCAAAATAGGCAGAAAGAATTGTTATATTTGCCTTTTTTCCATCTTTAAAATAATTTCAATGTCGTTCTAAGTCGTCTATTCCAAAAATAACTGCCGGTTAACTTAGGTCACTTCTACTATCCAATAGCGAGAAATCAATCTTTGTGGCACCTATTAATTAATGTCTCCTTTTCCTGCATTTGAGAAAAGGAAATCGAAAACGTCTTAAACCGCTGTCGCTTCTTTGTTGACCGACGGAAGGGACCCTTTCGGGAAGGGACCTGGTGGGCTGCGGGTTGGAGAGCCGCTGCCAAGCCCACGCGCCCAGTTCTGAATTCTTCACCTTATTTAGAGATCGTTACCAACTAGACCCTAGGAACAACCGGACCAGTCGTCACTCGAAGTAGGGAAGCCGCTGCAAGCAGTTCCTGACCCGGAATCAGATCGTGGTCCCGCCCCCTACGCGCCAGGCTTCCTCCTACAACAGGCGTGGGTCACGCTCTCGCTCGGTCTCTTTCTGCCGCCATCTTGGTTCCGCGTTCTCCGCACAGTAAGTGTTGTCTGGGCCTTAACTCTATCCACGGCCATCCTCTTTTCCTGTGGGTTGAGCCGCCCTGGGGATATAGAATTTAAGGAGAGTTGGAGTCTTTGTGAGGCCACAGGGGTTCCTACTCATCCCCTGGCCTACGGACAAAATGGGGTCTGGGGTTGTTGTCCTGGCAAAAGTAGGGCATAAGGGCAGCGGGCGGGGAATGGAGTCTGGGCACGGGGACTTGGTACCCATTACAGTCTTGGGAGACAGTGTCTGTTCTTAGGAACAGCTTCACATGAATCCAGAGAAGGTTAAGGGGTCACAAGCCTTTAGAACCTCAGCACCGTTCTTATGAGAGGGAAGTGTTGGGACTTAAAGCATCCTCTTCACTGGCTCTCGAAAGTCCTCAGAGAGCTCTGGAGGCTCAAGCCCGGGCAGTGTGAATGTCAGAGGGGAGCAGACTCAAGGGGAACGGCTAAGGTCTCCCCTGAAAACCAGACCGAGAACCTCTCGTTGGGCTAAGAGTGCAGTGGTGACTACTAGCCCTGTGGGATCAGGAGTGTGGAACACAACGAACCCTGAACACTGGGAAATCCACTTTCCGAGGAGTGAGGAGGCTTGGTGAGATGATTCGCTTGGTATAGAGATAGAAAATCATGACATATTTCCCACCTGTTCCCAGCCACTTAACAGCCCTCTTCAGAGTTTTTAAGAATACTTCGCTCTGGTTTGGGCGGGTGACTACATCCCAGCCAATTTAGGCCTCCTTTTTATTCCCTCCCTTCAGAAATGCCCGGTGAAGCTACAGAAACCGTCCCTGCTACAGAGCAGGAGTTGCCACAGCCCCAGGCTGAGACAGGTAGGTTCCCATACCCATCCTCCTATTAAGATTGACCCTGAGACTTTGTCGGGTAAAATGACAAAGAAGAAATAACACATGCCTGTTATAGTTCGCTGTCATTTAAAAAAAAAGATAGGGTTGCAGCTTTACCAGAAAGGAGAGGATTGACTGCTATTCTGCTAGGACTTCTTTAGAAAGATGGAATAAAATCTGTAAGATTCGTGGACATTAAAAGTTCTCCAGCTGGGCCGGGGATTTAGCTCAGTGGTTCCGGCGCCTGCCTCGCAAGCGCAAGGTCCCAAGTTCAATCCCCGGTACCAAAAAAATTAAAGAATTAAAAAAAAAAAAAAAAGCTATCCAGCCTCCTCTGTGAGTTATGTCTGCTGCCTCAAAAAGGAACTCTGCTATAGAACCACCACCTCACATACGAATGCTAAAGCAGGGAAAGAGCACAGTGGTGGTATCTACAGGAACTGGATGGCACTCAAGCAGGCCAAGGCGACCTGAGCTTTTATGAAGTTAGAGCCAGCAAGTTGCAGCAAGGTTTTGGATAGCAGACCTTGGCATTGTGCCTTCATCACATGTCTGGATGAGTTATGTGCTGGTGGTAAATGTGTCCTACTGAGCCTCATGGTCCCTGCAAGTGAGTTAACTTCTGTTTTAGGGGTTGGTGCTGAGATATTTCTATTCTGGAATAGTGCCCAGACCATTGTCTGGATCCTAACATTGAAGTCCTTCCTTTTACCCTCAACATTGAAATTAATGGGAGCTGGGCATGGTGGTGCTGGCCAGCAATCCCAGCACTGGGAGGATCGCCTCAAGTTCAAGGCCAGGCTGGGCAACATAGAAAGGCCCTGTCTCAAAAAAAGAAAAAAAAGAAGGCCCCGGGGATTTAGCTCAGTGGCACCTCATCTGCCTCAAAAATGCAGGGTCCTGAGTTCAGTCACCAGTACCCCCAAAAAAGAGAAAGAAATGGGTGTGAAGGCAGGTTTTTAATTTTGGTTAAAACAACTCTGTAGAAAACTTGAAGCAGTGAGAAAAGTGTAAAATGATAATCTTGTTGAGTCAGTTGTGCAGAACTAAATGAAGGTAATCTTTAGGCTAGTGGTGACAAACCTTTAAAAGCTTTCAGTGATAACAGCTTTGCCACCACTACTTTAGGCTGTAGCCTCCACCCAATACACACACCCCCGTCACTTAAGGAGCAGTTTCTGTCTCCTTTTGGAAGTAAACTTGTTTATAGTTGAAAGCACTAAGGTTCTCCCACCTGTCTGATTTTAGCAGCTGAAGGGATTAATACAGCTGCTGGAAAAGAAAGGAGGGGCCCTCTGAGCTGGGAAATAAGCAATGTGAAATTCTTAAGCTACAAGAAACAAGAGGAGGGGGAATAGAGGGCTGGTCTCCAGATCTGTAATTTCAGTACAATTTTAGAGATTGTGTCATTGAACAGATCAGTTTTACAAATTCGGAGGTTGAGATTCAAATGAATTAAGGATAATTTGGTTCCCAGATTCTAAACTAATGAGGGGTTTATTTTTATTTGGCAGTACTGGGAATTCAACTCAGGGCCTTGCACTAAGACTGAGCAACATCCCCAACCTTCCCCCCCCCCCCCGGTCTTTGTACAGTATGAGGGAGAGGGGCTCTTAAACTTGGCATATTCCTGCCTCAGCCTCCCAGAGTGTTGGACTGCAGATGTGCACCACCCCAGTGGTTCAACTAGTGTTATTAATTCCTGAAGTAACCCTTTGTGCTTTTGAAACATTGATAGTCTCAGCTTGTACAGAAGGTTTTTATTATTTAATAATAAGGGAATACCAATGATAAAACACTTAAAATTTTGTCTGTAACTATAATTCGTCTTATTAGAAAATGAATGAAATTAGCTCCAGCTGGGCATGCTGCGCACCATTGTAATTGTAGCACTAGGGAGTCTGAGACAGAAGGATTACCATGAGTTCAAAGCCACCTGGGACTACATAAAAGGCCCTGTCTCAAAAAAAAAAAAGTTAACTGAAGGAATTTGTTACGATGTCAAACAAAGTATTTCATCTTAAAGTCCTGCAGGAAGAAAGCATATTCCATGTTTTAAATTCTGCTTAATATATCTGAAAGTATTTGCCCTGGAGTCATAAGACTTTGACCTACAAGTTCTCCAGAAAAAACTAGTTGAACCACTTTTTTCTTTCCATAGTCAGATGCTATAAGGCTTTTAAAAGTAACTAGTTGAGTGAATTGTGAATTTGGATGCTGTCAGGTTTTTTTTTAAACACTTCCAGGCAATGAATATTTGTTCATCTAGTCCAGTGATGGCAAGTCTTTTAGAGCTTTCAGTAGTAACAAATAACCCACTGCTGCAAGCATGTTATAGGTTCGCCACCACTGGTCTTGTCTCATTTTCTCTCCTGGATGACAGACATGGTCCTTTTACCCCCTTGTTTAGCGGCACTTTTTGTATTTTGGGGTGTTTTTTATTGTTGTTTTTTTTTGGTACCAGGTATCGAACACATGTCATTGCTCTTGCGGGGCAGGTGGCGGAACCACTGAGCTAAATCCCCAGCCCTAACTTTTTTTTTTTTTGGCAGTACTGGGGATCAAACTCAGGACCTTGTGCTTGCAAGGCAGGCACAACACCACTGAGCTAAATCCCTGGCCCTCTCCCTCATTTAGAAAACTTTTTAACTGGGGCTGGGGATTTAGCTCAGTGGTGCCACTGCCTGCCTCACAAGCACAAGGTCCTGAGTTCGATCCCCAGTATGAAAAAAACCTTTTACTTAGTTTCCTTTTAGTGCCAAATATTGATCTATTATGAAAGAATGACATACTTCTCCAGATTAAGGGATTAGAATCCAGCATAGTCTTTTCACTTTAATTTTCCTTCTAAAATAGGACCACAGTCTGGTTGGACAAGTTGGGTCAGAGTTTCATAATACAGTCCCTACCCATGTGACTAAGCTCTCTCCCTGAAGGTGTAGTTCATCTTGGTTTGATGTCAAAAGAGCTGACCTATTGAGCTGACATTCTGAAGAGTTTCAGCTTTAATAGAAATGAATTATGTGAGGCACCCCTTTCTAAAACTTGTAAGATTTTTTTTCTAGCCTAGTGAAGCCTGAAAATACAAAAACCTGTTTTTCTAATTCAACTCAATTCCCCATCATTATCACTGCTCTCACAACCTTGCTTGCTTATTCCACTTTTCATTGTGTTTCAGTTCATAATCTTTGGGTAGACAGGATAGCACAGCTATTCCAGGCGTAATTCTATTGGCTATGAGAAAAGATAGAAATAGGATCCATTTCAGGATGGAAGGGAAGGGCACAACTGGGAAAGGATAGAAAACATGTTCCCAACCCATTCCTGAGCCTGTGCTCCCCATTTAGAGATAGGTTGCTGTCAGACATTTTCTCACCCTGAAATAGTTGATTTATTTTGGTAGAACTTGAAAAGTGTGGGACATAAGAATGATGTATTCTCACTTTACCGGTGACTTGTATTTGGGGAAAGATTTGGTGTTGCTTGTCACCTTTGTCTAATCTTGTGTGGTGACCTTCATTTGCAGATCTAAAATCCCATTGTTTTTGTGAGGCATGTTATGCCATGTTGGGCTGCATAACTCACCTTTTTTTTTTTTCTTCCCTTTTTTATCTTCTTTTTTGCTTTTATCCTCCAGCTGTGCTTCCTATGTCTCCAGCCTTGAATGTCACTGCTGCCTTAGGGCAGCCTGGATCTACCCCTACCCCTCCTTGCTCCCTGGCCCCACAACAGTGCCCTGTGTCAGTTGCAAACCAGTCATCCCCACTCCCCTCTCCCACTACTAGTAGCACAGTCCCTTTAGAGGTTCCTTTTCCCCAGCCTGCCTCAGGAATCACCATGCCTTTCGAAACTTCCCCTGATACCCCAACTTTCCTACCACACCTGATAGGGCCTCCTATCTCCCCAGCTGCCTTAGCCCTGGCCTCTCCCATGTTAGGGCCAACTCTGAGAGGTGCCCATTCCGGTTCAGCTCCTTTAGCTCTGGTTGCATTGGCTCCCCACTCAGTTCAGAAGAGTTCGGATGTTGTAGCTGAGTCAGGGCCAGTGACATCTCTGTCAGCTCCCCTTAGTCCCTTAGAACCAAAGACTTCTCCCATTCAAGTTCCCTGTCAGGTAGTCCCTAATCCAAAAGTATCTACCCCAAATCTTCCAGTTACAGTCAGTGGTATTCCTTCCCACCTTGTAACTCCCTTGGCCTCTGCTGAAACTAGAGTATCCTCCTGTCCTCAAATACCACCTATCACTTCTCCTCAGGTCAAAGGTATCCCAGTTTCCCCAGCTCTGATGCCACAAAACCCATTAAGCCCAAGCCTAAAGGGGCCTATTAGTTCACCTGCTGCCTTCTCTCTTTCAACCCAGTCTGTTCCTGCAGTGGCCTCTTCCCAAAAGACTGGAACTCCAGATATCCCTCCCATTTTCCCCACTTCTCTGAGCACTCCTCTTGCACCACATCAGAGTTCTTTAGACTCTCCTATTCAACCTTTAGGTCAAACAGGTCCTAACATTCTGTCAGATCCTATAATGAATACCATTTCTGTAGATCATTCTTCCATGGGGACCTCTTATCCATCTCAGAGATCTGAGATTCCTCCTCTTCCCTCCAAAAGTGAGCTGGTAGCTGGTGCTATGGCTTCCCTTCCAGTTGGGGGTCCACCCTCAGCTCTAGTCATTTCTGTTGACAGAAGCCATTCTACCATCACTAGTGTAACCTCCCACAGTCCATTTTCCCCAGATGTAGCCTCTACTTACTCATTGTCTCCTACAACCTCTCTCATTCTTAAAGGCCCACCTAATGCTACTCATCAGCCTTTGGTAACTCAAAGTCCTACTTCTCCAGGAGCAGACTTAAAAGAAATGTCTGTCTCTTCTGGTAGAACTGCTCAGCTTGTGATAACTAACCCTTCTACAACTTCTACAGTAAATTCTGCCTTTGAGGTAGCTAAGGAACTTCCTACTCAAGTAGCAGCCACTCCTGGGATGCCATTTTCTCCACTGCCAGCTCCTGAAGACTATAAATTTCTTCCCACTTCAGTATTGGTAAATGTAGGTGCTCCTATTTCTCCAGCCCAGGCAGGACTCCCTACCAAGAAAGACCCTACTAATATACTGCCTCTGGCCCCAGGACCCCCTAAAAATTCCTCCTCTCTCCAAAGTATATCACCTCTGGAAATAACTCCTCCTGGAGCCACTGTAACAAAGAAAAGCTTTATAAGGCCTCTCCCTGTAGCTGAGCCAGCTAGTGCTACTGCTGCTTCTCTGGGTGTCAACTCCCCATTCTCTGTAGTTAAGACAGATGTTTATGCAAGCCCAGACTCCACTAGTCTCTTTCTCAAAAGTTCTGTTACTGCCCCAACAGTCGTTGCAGTTCCTCTGGAAAGTGCTGGCCCTGAGGGAGTGGCTTCTACAACTACCAAAGACACCTCCACTCCTGCAACTACAGCCAGTCCTTTTGTAGGAGCTATCTCTTCAGCTCCTAAAAACCACCCAGCTAAAAAGGGTACTTGCATTCTTACTGCTTTACCTTCGGTTCCACCAGCCTTTGAAAGTAGGCCTATAGCTCCCGCTGTGAATTTATCCCCCCAGAATGTTTCTGTTTCTGCAGCTCCCTTGGCACTGGCCCCTGAAATTCCCCAGTCTGTGCCTTTTCCCACACTTCCACCAGCTGGCATTTCTCCTTCTGCAGAGAAACTTGGTGGTATTTCTCATACCTCAGCATTGGCGCCTTTGGCTTCCTCTCCTGAAGGGCATCCAAGTGAAGACTCTGGTGCTTCTGTTACTGCATCTTACCTGGCTAATTCCCCATCTCCCCTAAGGACTGGCATTTCTCCTCAGACTAAAAGATCAGAAACCCAGAAGGGTTCCACTGTCACTGATGATCTGACTGGAAACGTCTCCTGTCTTTCTCACATTGAAGTTTCCTTCCTTCCAGAGGCTAGTCTTTCTTTTCAAGGCCCTAAAGACTCACTAACCAAGAAGCAGCCTCCCTCTTCTCCCTCCCCAGAAGGAGCAACCCCATCCCCGAAAGAGGTCCCAGCAACCCTCTTCCCCACAGAGGCCCCTGGCTCCCTACTTGTGGCTCCTCCATACCCTAAAAAGGCCCTAGCAACCCTGTCCCCTAAGGGGACCTCCACTGTCCCAGCCAAGACTCTTCCCTCCCACAAAAAAGCCCCAGCAACTTCATCCCTCAGAGAGTCCCCCACTGCCCCAGCCAAGACTTCTACCTCCCCCAAAGGAGCTCCCACTCCTCCAGCTGAGACTAATCCCTCTCCCCAAAAGTCCTCAGCAACTGCAGCTCCCAAAGGGACCCCCACTCCCCCAAGTGAGATTTCCTCCTCCCCCAAAAAGGCCCCAGCAACTCCATCCCCCAAAGAGACCCCAACAACCCTCTCTTCAAAAGGTGCCTCTACTACTCCCCTGGCTGAGATTCGCCCCTCCCCCCAAAAGGCCCCAGCAACCCCCTCTTCCAAAGGGACCCCCACTCCCCCAGCTGAGACTCCTCCCTCCCCAAAAAAGGCCCCAGCAACTACAGCCCCCAAAGAGACCCCAGCAACTCCATCTTCCAAAAGGGTCCTCACTCCCCCAACTGAGATTCCCCTGTCCTCCAAAAAGGCAACCCCATCTTCCAGAGAGTCCCCAGCAACCCCCTCTTCCAAAGGGACCCCCACTTGCCCAGCTGAGATTCCTCCCCCAAAAAAGACCCCAGCAACTGCAGCCCCCAAAGAGACCCCAGCAACCCCCTCTTCCAAAGGGGCCCCCACTCCCCCAGCTGAGACTCCTCTCTCCCCAAAAAAGGCCCCAGCAACTACAGCCCCCAAAGAGACCCCAGCAACTCTGTCTTCCAAAAGGGTCCTCACTCCCCCAACTGAGATTCCCCTGTCCTCCAAAAAGGTAACCCCATCTTCCAAAGGGCCCCCCACTCCCTCGGCTGAGACTCCTCCTTCCCCAAAAAAGGCCCCAGCAACTACGGCCCCTAAAGAGACCCCAGCATCCCCCTCTTCCAAAGGGGCCCCCACTCCCTCGGCTGAGACTCCTCCCTCCCCCAGAAAAGCCCCAGCAACTGCAGCCCCTAAGAAGACTTCAGCAACTCAATCCCTCAAAGGGGCCCCCACTCCCCCAGCTGAGACTCCTCCCTCCCCCAAAAAGGCTCCAGCAACTGCAGCCCCCAGAGAGACCCCAGCAACTCCATCCTCCAAAAGGGTCCTCACACCCCCACCTGAGATTCCTCTGGCCTCCAAAAAGGC